CTGACAGATGGGCGGTGACTTCACATGAAGTGCATTGTCTGGGAACTGAACCCAGTTCTCCCACGTGGAAGGGGAGAATTCTACCACTGAATCACCACTGCCCCCAGTGCTAACCTATTATTGAGCTGTTGTCATTTTCTTCGGCCTCAGGAGACAGTGAGAACGGTTCTACAGCCAACTTCTTTTAAATATAATTTAAAAATACAAGTAATCAAATATTTGGAGAATTCTTAGGGCATCTCTCAGGATCCGAACTGACTTTAACTGCCACAACTTTATGAAGTTGGCCTTATTTCTTAAATACTTGGAAGTAGTAGGCCTGACAGTTTTTGTTGGTTTGCAAATTAGGTTTTAAATAATATACCCCAAAGCCACTTTGTGTTTGGATACACACAAATAGTCCAAGATTGTGTCATTCATTATTATGAATGGGGGAAGAGCAGACTGGATTTTCCAAGGAGCCCATTTAAGTATTGTTTTTAACTTCAAGTGAGTTCCCTTGAGATATGCAGGCTTTGCAGAGTTTTGTTCGCCACCAAGTTTTTCTCAAGTCCCACATATGTCGTCAGGTTAAGCAATGGACTGATCTTAAATTCAGAAGACTGGATTTTCTTCCATTGAGGGAATCTATTAACGATAAGCGTTGAGTGTAGAAGAAACAGGCTTTTTTGAATCAGACAAACTTACATTCAGAAATCCCAATTTTAGAGTTTATTGTTTACAGCAGGCAGGTTTTAACCCCTCTGAGACTCAGTTACTTCATCTGTGAAATATGGACTATGCCACTTACCACATATTATTTCAAGAGGATTCATATAAAATAATATCCATATGAGACACGGTATCTGCTATGCTATAGTGCATTTCGGTGGTAAATATCACTATTCTTTCTGTTTCATAGTCCTAAACCATCCAAAGTCAGTTAGCCTTTACAGTGGGGGTAATGTTTTTCTTTCCCTTATAGGAAAAGCAAAACATGTTTGAAAGATTTGTCTACGTTAACAATCTGATAAATAAACTCTTGATAAGATGCTTATCAAGAAGCAATTAGGGATATTGCTCCTAGAACATTTGAAGACAGAATTTTCATTTCTAATTATTTTTGAGTTTACCAGTGATTGTCTATATATTGGATTATCATAATCATGCCATATTACAAGAGGCTGTCCATTATACACATTTTCTAAACGAGGAAACTAAGAAGATCGGTCTTTTGCTAAATTACACAGCTGACAGAAGTAGAGTGGGGACTAGGACCCTGACCTCATTCTTTGTTCCAGTGCTTTTTTCCAGAACATCATGTGGACAGGAGGTTAGGTGTGGCTGTCATCACTGCCTTTATCTTCACAATGATCACTTCCAGTTTTTTTTTTTCTCAGAAAAAGGCCATTTTACATGCATACACTAAATATTACATTAAACAGGGTTTAATGGCTTCATCCTTCCTTTTAAATAAAGATCATCTGCTTGTAGAACAAGGTAAGGAGAGAAAAATCAGAAAAGTAAAGTAGTCGGTACCAGTGATATATGTGCCCAGAGCCTCAGAATCTGGAAATTGCAACAGAATTGGTGTAAATCTGAACAGAATGAAAATCTTAAAATCAATGTGCACTACCTGATTGTTTTCACTTTGCTGGACATAAAGCTGCACGTGTACCTTGCAAATGCATTCTTTAAAAATCCTCATTTTCAAAGCATGTTATTTCTGCAGGATGTCTTTACATATGAAGTGTCTTGTTCCTTTAAGATAGCAGCTTTTCCAAAATTCAGTTTCTGTATATTTCAGGGATGTATTGGGTGTAAGCTTCACCTAAAGTTTACGTTTCATATGAATTTAGAATTTTTTTTTTAAATTTGTCTGGCACCTAGTCAGACTTCAACTAAAGAAGTCTCACCACATGTTTTATCTATTTCTTCGTTCCTTGGGAGGAGGGAAGTATTTTAAAGTAAGTCCTTGACGTCATGACTTCTCATACATAATTATTTCATGTGTATCTCTGAGAAAATGAAGATTTTAAGACATAAAATGGCAATTACCATACTTTTAACATTAGCGCTATTTTTTTTTATTGCAGTAAGTTTGCCATTTCAACATTTTTCACATATACAATTTTCACAGGTACAACATTTTTCACATGTACAATTCAGTCACTTCAATTGTGTTGAAGAACGAACAATCTTTCTTGGAGCAAGCACAGCCAGAATGCTCCTTAGAAGCGAGGATGGCAAGACTTTGTCTCACTTAGTATGGTCATATTATCAGGAGGGGCCAATGCCTGGAGAAGGACATCATTGCTTAGTAATGTAGAGGGTCAGCAAAAAAGAGGAAGACCCTCAATGAGATGGATTGGCACAGTGGCTACAACAATGGGCTCAAACACAGCAACAATTGTGAGGATGGCATAGGACTGGGCAATATTTTGTTCTGTTATACATAAGGTCGCTATGAGTCAGAGTGGACCTGATGGCACCTAAGAACGACAGCAATTATGTTCATCATGTTAGGCAACTATTACCACTATCCATTTCCAAATTATTCCATCACCCTCAATAGAAGCTCAGTTCTCCCAGCACTATGTTTAATCCCAGATTCTTCTTAATTTCCTATCTGTGTTTATATTTTGAAAAAATTGGATGTGTCTTATGCATCTCTCCTCTATCACAGTGCCCAGCACAATATCTGGGACAATAAATATTTCCAAAATGCAATTTAACACAGAGCATTTTGTTTAATTCTTCTGGCAGCCCTGTGAAGGAAGGCAAGTATAGCTATCTCCATTGTGCTGGTGTGGAATCGAGATTCACAACAGTACCAGAAAGTTCCATTAAGCTACCAGCAGCCAATCCTGCCCAGTATTCCCTATCCTCAGGATCAGCAGTTTTTCTGTCTGCAGTTTAGATTACTTTGGCCCCAAATCTGAGAATTCGAAGGGCAATCTGGCCAAGCATTTAGTTAGTTATACAACAGATAAAATGAGGCAAACACACTAAGATGTTACTAACCCTTACCCTTCACTACTGTTCATCAGAGCTCAAGGATAGAAGCCGTGGCCAGCCATGGTCATTTTCTGCTTGGAATACTTATATATCTTAGATTATAGGTATGGTCTTCTCAGGCTGTGCCTCAGAGTTTCCAAAGCTTCTTTCTTCAAAACTGTGTAACTTTAGCCAAACAGATTCCAATAAGAATGTGTGTCCCTGAATCAGTTCTGTTGGACCCAGGCTATCAAGAGATTGCTTAGTTTTGGACAGAAGACTTTTTGCCCTGGTTTTCTTCAAATGTGCTTCCGCTGATTAGAGATGATGAGATTTCCACCCACCTCCTTTGAGGCTAGATTGCCAGTTTTGAGGAATGAAATATAGAAAGTGTTTCTTTGTGTTCATCAAAATAACTGAGCCCACGCAGAAAACAAAAATAGAGTGTTAGATGTAATTTCCATGAATTTTGTTCATTTCATTGATACAGAATTGTTTGGCATTGCATCTGCAGGAATTCTTTTGCAGAGGATGGGAACACTGGAAAACCGCAAGTGCCATTTGATGCAATCGAAAATAAAAAAGGTAAAAGGATACAGTCCCACTTAATTTCAACATGAAAATAAATATTGCCTGGCCAAAATCATATTAAAAAAAGTAGCTTCATTAACAATACAAAACTAAAATTAAACAAGGAAATACTATTTTTCTTCAAATTTGAAAAAAAATTTTCTTCTTGAGGATAGTAAGTTTGGAGGGAATATAGGAGAAGAAGTATTCTCATGCTTGTGGTGGATGTATAAATTAGAACAACCTTTGTTAAGGGTCATCTAACAAGACATAAGAAAAGCATTAAAAAATAAACTTAGAGACTAGAAATTTTACTTTTAGATATAATATTAAGGAAATAATTAAGAATATATACAAAGATTTGATTATATAGCTTGTTAATAAATGAGAGAAAATAGAAACCACCTGTCCTGCAATAATAGTGAACTGGATAAATAAATTAAGTTCTAGTCATCTAATAAGATACAGTATGAAGCCATTATAATATTTTAGGATATTTATGACATGGAAGATGCTTATGATATATTGTTAAATGAAAATTTGACTATAAGCAACATAAACCTATAATAATTAACGGAAAGTAATAATGATTTTGATTTTATCTTTTTGGCTTTTTTTTCTCCTTGTAAAGAACATCTGAGATTTTTGTAATAAGAAAAAAGTATATAATTTTAAGAAAATCAAGGAAAATAAGCACCTACTCTTGCATCTACAATTTTAAAAAATGATAAGTTTTCCCATTATAAATCAGGGTTTGATACAATATAGTAGTTCTCAAAGTGTGGCTTGCAGGCCAGTAGCATCAGCATTGCATAGGAAATTATTGAAAATTCAGATTTGCTGTATCAGAATTTCTATGGATGCGGCCTAGGAATCTATATTTTAACAAGCCTTTCAGAAGATCTGAGTGATGCTGAAGTTTGAGAATCAAACTCAATTTGACTCAATTGACTCAATAGAATGAATCAGCAGGCCCAGTGAAAAACTAATGATAAACTGGTGTTCAGACTGCCCATCCCTCTCCATCCATTTTTGTCTTTATATGAGTTATTTAAGTATACTAGGAGTTTTTATTCATTCATTTGTTCCATAAATATTTATTAAGGAGATTTTTAGGTAGATGTTTGGTTGAATTCTGAATCTTAAATATTAGTGGAATCAACTGGATGAAATTTCTATAATTCTAGTAATCTGGGAAATTAACAGGATCATAGAACTAGAAGGAACCCTGATATATCATTGGATCCAAATCCCTACCTTCAGGCAGTGGATAGGATTAAACCATTCATTTCCTGCCTCAATATTTTCCTATTTGATATAATCGTTTTCTAGGTTTTGAATCAAATAACTTCTTTGGTTTTATCTTAGCTTTTGGTTTTACTTAGAAATGCTTCCTGATGCAGTAAAAACTAAATAGCAAGATACATGTTTTATTAAACTATTCTGTTTGAGATTATGAGGTATTTATTCTTTTTTATTTTGATTGTGTTTATTTTAAATTTATTTTTCTTTTTGTTTTTTAGCTGCAGTACCGCAAATTATGAATGAAACCAAAGAAATACATTGCAGCAATGGTGAGTTAAGATTGAAGAGTTTCCGCAGCCTAATCAATAGTTAAGCACTGCCCAGCTTTGAATAAATTGTCATTTTATCATGTTTGAGCATCTTCGGGCTGCTAGTTTATTTTGAGTAAATTTTCAGAAGTTATGAGATTTCTGAGTGAGACATTACCTGTCACTTTTGCATAAGGAGAACATTTTAATTTTCTATTTTTGAACATGATTTTTTTTTTTTAAGGCCAGTAACTTCCAAGCTCAATTTAAAGGGCTCAAGGAGTTCTATAGCATTGCCTTGGAGGCCCCTCAAATGGAAGAGCTTGGCTAATCTGCTGTATGCATTCATCTTTAGAAGTCTCAGCACCCTGCAGTGATTTCTTTCCTGACAGACATCTGCTATAATGGATAGTACTTGAGTAAAATTTTCTTTATAATAGTCAAGCGTTTTGAAGTTGATTTTAAATTGATTTTCTTAAAATTCATGTATAATTGGTACTTTTTTGTTATTTTTTTAAAATTGTGCTTTAAGTGAAAGTTTACAATTCAAGTTAGTTTCTCATACAAAAATTTATACACACATTGTTATGTGACCTTAGTTGCTCTCCCTATACTGTGACAGCACACTCTTCCTTTCCACCCTGGATTTCCCGTGTCCATTTAACCAGCTGCTGACCCTCTCTGCTTCTCATCTCGCCTCCGGACAGGAGCTGCCCATTCAGTCTCATGTATCTACTTGAGCTAAGAAGCATATTCTTCACGAGTATCATTTTATGTCTGATAGCCCAGTCTAATCTTTGTCTGAAGAGTTGGCCTTGGGAATGGTTTTAGTTTTGGGCTAACCGAGAGTTCGGGGGCCATGTCTTTTGCGGTCCCTCCAGTCTCAGTCAAACCATTAAGTCTGGTCTTTTCAGTAGAATTTGAGTTCTGCACCCTACTATTCTCCTGCTCTGTCAGGGACTTTCTGTTGTGTTCCCTGTCAGGGCAGTCATTGGTGGTAGCCGGGCACTAGCTAGTTCTTCTGGTCTCAGGCTGATGAAGTCTCTGGTTTATGTGGCCCTTTCTGTCTCTTGGGCTAATATTTTCCTTGTGTCTTTGGTGTTCTTTATTTGCCTTTGCTTCAGGTGGGTTGAGACCAATTGATGCATCTTAGATGGCCGCTCACTAGCTTTTAAGACCTCAGACGCCACTCACCAAAGTGGGATGCAGAACATTTTCTTAATAAACTTCATTATGCCAATTGACCTAGATGTCCCCTGAAACCATGGTCCTCAGACCCCTGCCCCTGCTACTCTGTCCCTTGAAGTGTTTGGTTGTTATAATCGATACATTTAATAATATTATATTAAACCTTACATTTATAAATAATATTTGTAGCTCTGTGTGGTCAGTATTATCACACTGTTCTTGTAAATCCAGCATTCTAGAGAGTCTAACTGACTTCAAGGTCACAGAGCTATTAAACTGGCTGAGCTGGATCATGAAGCTGGATCTTCAGATTCTATGTCCAAAACTCCTAAATTTTCTTAATAACCTGTACTATATGGTACAAAATTAAAAGTTATACTCAGCAGGTTTATTTTTTATAATAGTCCTTATATATATATATAAAATTTACATACATATTTATTTTTATATATACATATAGTTTAAGGAGCCTTGGTGGCACAATGGTTAGGCGTTCACCTGCTAAGCAAAAGGTTGGTGGTTCGAACCCATCTGGTGGTTCTGTAGGAAAGACCTGGTGATCTGCTTCTGTTAAGATTACAGTCAAGAAAACCCTATGGGTGGGCGCAGTTCTACATGAGTTAAAAAGTAACTCAACGGCACCTAATAACAACAGTATATAGTTTGCCAAAGCATACACTTAGAAAATTGTCTTTCCCAAATTAAAAAAAAAAAAAAATCTATTCTGTTAAAACGTTAAGGCTGAAAAGAATTTATGGTCTTAGGTATTATTTATTATAATAAAAGTCTTCTGATTTAACAAAATCTAATTTGTCATCTAGAATTTGATTTAACTAATTCATTATGTTTAATACTATCATCAAAATCACTTTAGACTAAGAGGCTATACAATAAATATGGCTGAATAAAATCAACAAATATATGAAATTAAAGAAAAATAGTATTTTAAATACAGTATTGCTAGTTGGGAAAAGTAACACATATTCTTTACACATAGTCCTCCCTGCACTGCCTCTCCCACCCCAAGCCCCTACCAGTACCATTTGCTAACAAGCTGATTCCAACTCATGGAGACCCTATGTGTGCTGGAGTAGAACTGTGCTCCATAAAGTTTTCAGTGGCTAATCTTTCAGAAGTAGATCCCAGGCCTTTTTTACGAGGTGCTTCTGGGTGGACTCAAACCTCTAATCTTTCGGTTAGCAGCTGAACACATTAACTATTTGTACCACCCAGGGACTCCTCCAAAACTCTTACCCCTAAAAGAATACAAGCTACTCAATTCTCCTGGGATGTTGGCACCTGGAGTGCAGTCAGAAAAGAACAAGAAAGAAAACCCTGAGCAGCATTAGGATGAACACTTGTTTAGAGTCCACTATGTTCCAGGCTCTGGGTTAGATGCAGCATCAGACAAACCAGTTCATCTCCTTGGGCTTCCATTTCCTCATTTGTAAAATATGAAGATTGTACTGGATGATCTCATTTTTTTCAGGCCTCAGGTAACATGGTAAAGAGGATGTGAACATGTTCGATAATCTCTTTAACTTTGTTCGTGTTTTTAAGTTGATGAAAGCTAGTCCTACCCAGATCTTCATAATTCATCTTTCTACTTTTATAGTATTAAATAAAATTTAAAAAATAACCCTATGTGATGATGCCTTAGAACAGGTGTTTAATATGAGTTATGATTATCCCTCAAGAGGGCAATAAAATTCTGTGGTTAAAAGAGATCTATTCAAAGGAGCCAAACTTCAAACAACTTTTCCATATATACTTGCCAAATAGGTTAAGCAGCTTGCTACCACCATACCTCACACCGGGTTCTCCATAGAGCTAAGGTAAACTGGCCTGAGGCAAGTTGGGACCGGGTTGGGAAGGATGCCAAGGAAACACCAGGTGTTTGTGGGTGGCAGCAGGGATGATTCAGTTGAAGATGATGTCAGAACTCTGTCAGCTTTCAAGCAAGGGTCTGGGACACAGCCCTCATGCCAGAAGTGACAAGTTTCTGCTGAAACCAGAAGTAAGCGCTTGCTAAAATTGTGCTCAGTGAAATGATTGCACATTTTATCTCATGAAGAGCTGAGTTGTAAATAGGCAAGTCCCATTGAAAACCATCACCACTGAGTGAAAGGATCAAATGCAGAGAAATGAACTCTTAAGGAATGTTTATAAAAATATATCCTAGTAAGTTTAAGTACATCTTCTATGTTTACTGTGTTGAAAAAAACAATCTGTTACTTTGTTATTCTTTTAGCTGGTTCTGAGCAGAAAATACAGTGCAAGTATATGCATTCCCTTTCTGACTAGGAAATGGTCATTTCCAAAGTACATTCCATAGCTCTGAACTCCAGCTTGTTTAAAGTGTTACATTGGATTCACAGTCTCCATTTGAATCATATCTCATGACTAATATCCTGTTTTTACTGTACTTAGTGTCTTGAACATAGAAGATGTTGGAAAGAATCTTTGATAAAAAAAAAGAATGCATTATTACTGAGTGGTTGAATATGAATTAAAAGCTATGGCCCTTTTCAGGATGAATTTGAATAACACAAACATCGACTCATTCTTTGATTTTTTTTTAACTCCTTCATTATAAAAAGAATTCAGTAGGTGGTAAGTTCAGCAAAGTTATAGATGCAGCATACTTACAAATCAACCAGATTAAATCTTTGATTGACCGTTAGGTCAATTAGCAAGTAAAATCAGTCAAGCTGGTAGTTTGCCAAATTCACTGAGTTATTCAACCAAATTGTCTAGTTTATTTTTTCACTAAGACTTTTCCCTAAAATGGAACTGCAATATATCTGTTATGTTTTTGGTCTTAATTTATACCTGAATAGTCTTTTCTTCCATAGGCGAGAAAACCACAGAGTGGTTCAGAAATACATGGTTTAAAAAAAAAAATATTTGCAGTGAATGATGAGAGTTATACTGAGACAAAGTCCTGATAACTAGAATAAAACTTTCACATGGTTGGCAGTATCCATTGCTGTGGATCTGGTGACACATCCCCATGTCCATCAAACAAATATAAAAATTTTGGTCTTGTTGAGGCACAGAGTCTAGGATGTAATGAGAGATAAGACTAGAGAGGAAGATGAAGAAAGGGTCAGAAAACGCCTTGTCTGCATATTAGAGTTTGGAATTGATAAGAAACTGTTAAAGAATTGTAGGCAGATTGTTAGATTTGATTTTAGAAAAATCATTGTGACAGCTGTATAAAAGGAGAGGAAGAAACAACAGTTAGTAGTATATTTCACCTTCTACTCTTGAACGTAGAGTAGCTACAGCCAGCAAATGGATGAAGTAAAAGAGCTGAACAGAAGATTCCAAAGGGCAGCACAAAAAGGCAAAGTAAAGTGTTATAATGAAATGGGCAAAGAACTGGAGTTAGAAAACCAAAAGGGAAGAACATGCTTGGCATTTCTCAAGCTGAAAGAACTGGAGAAAAAATTCAAGCCTCAAGTTGCAATATTGAAGGATTCTACAGGAAAAATATTGAATGACATAGGAAGCATCAAATGAAGATGGAAGGAATACACAGTCAATGTACCAAAAAGAATTGGTCAACGTTCAACCATTTCAGGAGATAATATATTATCAAGAAACAATAGTACTGAAGGAAGAAGGCCAACCTGCACTGAAGGCATTGGTGAAAAACAAGGCTTCAGGAATTGATGGAATACTAATCGAGACATTTCAACAAACGGATGCAGTGTTGGAGGTGCTCACTCGTTTATGCCAAGAAATTTGGAAGACAGCTACCTGGCCAACTGACTGGAAGAAATTCATATTCCAGTCCATTCCAAAGAAAGGTAATCCAACAGAATGCAGAAATTATCTAACAATATCATTAATATCACACACAAGTAAAATTTTGCTGAAGATCATTCAAAAGCGGTTGCAGCAGTACATAGACAGGAAACTGTTAGAAATTCAGGCTGGATTCAGAAGAGGACTGGAATGAGGGATAACACTGCTGATGTCAGATGGATTTTGGCTGAAAGCAGAGCTACCAGAAAGATGTTTAACCAAAACCCAAACCTGTTGCCATTGAGTTGATTCCAACTCAGCAACGCTATAGACAGAGTAGAGCTGCCCCATAGGGTTTCCAAGGAGCAGCTGGTGGATTTCAACTGCCAACCTGTTGGTTAGCAGCCAAGTTCTTAACCACTGTGCCACCAGAGCTTGTGTTTTATTGATTATGTAAAGGCATGAGACTGTGTGGATCATAACAAATTATGGATAATATTGGAAAGAATAGGAATTCCATAACACTTTTCTCATGAGGGACCTGTACATAGACCAAGAGGCAGTTCTTCGAACAGAACAAGGGGATACTGCATGGTTTAAAGTTAGGAAATGTGTGTCAGGGTTGTATCCTTTCACCAGACTTATTCAGTCTGCATGCTGAGCAAATAATTCAAGAAGCTGGGCTATATGAAGAAGAATGAATCCAGGCGTCAGGATTGGAGGAAGACTTCATTAACAACGTGCGATATGCAGACAACACAACCTTGTTTGCTGAAAGTGAAGAGGACTTGAAGCACTTACTGATGAAGATCAAAGACCACAGCCTTCAGTATGGATTACACCTCAACATAAAGAAAACAACAATCCTCACAACTGGACCAATAAGCAACATCATGATAAAAGGAGAAAAGATTGAAGTTGTCAAGGATTTCATTTTACTTGGATCCACAATCAACACCCACGGAAGCAGCAGTCAAGAAATCAAAAGTCGCATTGCATTGAACAAATCTGCTGCAAAAGACCTCTTTAACGTGTTAAATAGCAAAGATGTCACTTTGAGGATTAAGGTGCGCCTGACTCAAGACACAGTATTTTCAATTGCCTCATATGCATGCAAAAACAGGACAATGAATAAGGAAGACCGAAGAAGAATTTATGCCTTTGAATTATGATACAGGAAAAGAATATTGATTATACCATGGACTGCCAGACGAATGAACAAATCTGTTTAGGAAGACGTACAGCCAAAATGGTCAAAGGGAAAAAAAAAATAAAAACAAACCTAATCATGTATGATTTTTAAATGTTTATCCACTTCACAGTTGTAATTTCTTTGTCATTGTTTCTGTTTGTTTTTTTGACAGATAAACACACACTATGTCATATCAAGCAGATCTTCACACATCCACGTTTGGAACTAAATCCTGAGTTTCACCCGAAGATCAAAGATTATTACTCTGAAGTCCCATTTGATGTGGTGACAGTGACTATTGGAGCTGAGACTTCTAAGTGTCAGTGCAAGGTGCACCTCTGTGAGCGGGCAGGGCCAAGGTATGGGGACGCTGATGGGGCTGAATTGAGTCATCATAGTGGGAAGCAGACATTTGATACACCTTTTGGAAGTGGTTCAGAAAAGCTGAGCCATGAGATTGGTTGGAGAGATTGCCAGGGTCTGAAATCCTTCCCTTTTCAGGTGTCATGTGGTTAAAAAGAGCACATCAGTTCTCTACTGATCTGCTAGCAATCTTTGTAACTAATCTTTGTAACAACTTTCTAATAAGAGAGGATCTTGTTACATACCATATTAAAACAAAATAAAATAACAATAACGAAAACAAAACAGTTGCCATGAAGTGGAGAACGCTTTACATAAAAATTTTATCATTATTTTCAAGTTAGGCTGGAAGTATTTCCACATCCTTCTAGCCCAACCCAACCCCTCAAGTTTTCAAGTAGTCAGGGGTTGATTGCTTCCTACACATATTGGCAACAATTTGTAGACACAGTAACACTGACTTTCCCAGTCTCACTGGGATTTTGTTGTTGTTGGCTATTTTGGGAGTCACCAACTCTTTTGTCTGTCCCATGAACAGAAGATAGAACCTTGTCACTTGTCATCTAAGTGGCAAGGAAGATACTCATGTTCCTTATTACAGGCAAAGAAATGTACTTAGTATCCATGGGAGCCAGGAGAGTCTAGTAAAAAGAGAGGAGGATTCAAGTCAGACCAACCTGAATCCCAACCGTGTCTCTACCATGGGACTTTGGGCAGTCTGTTTTCCAGTTCTATGCCATGGTCTCTTTATATTTTAAATAGGGACAATCATAGTTTTTGTATCGAGTGGTCGTAAGTATTAAATGAAATAA